ATTGGGCGCTATGTGCAAAATTTTTCGGTGAATCCGACAGCGGGTTCCTTATAATTATACTTTGACTTCTTTTCTGGTGTCGACATAATCTATGTGGTTTTTGCCTAAATTTTATTTTTCTCATTGGCGCTTTTTTTTCAACCAATTACCACTTATCATTAAAGGTATTATTCATCCAGACGATGCTGTTTTAGCTGTGAAAGCTAACGTAGCTGGTATTATTGTATCGAATCACGGTGGTAGACAATTAGATACATGTATGAGCACAATTGAAGCATTGGCAGATATTATGCAGGCTGTCAGACCGTTGAATACCAATATGGAAATATATATGGATGGAGGTATTAGACGTGGTACAGATATTTTGAAAGCGATATCATTAGGAGCAAAAGCTGTCTGCATTGGTAGACCAGTTTTAAGGGGACTTAGTGCTGATGGAGAAAAAGGTGTTAAACACGTGTTGGACATACTAAAAAAAGAATTTAAATTAGCTATGATGTTATGCGGATGTCAAACTGTGAATGAGTTAGATAAAAGTCTTTTACATACAACGACCTTGACATCGAAATTATGAGTAAAAGGAAATGATTGTACTTTTGTGTTTTGTTGAGAACGAATGGAAAATAGTCGAGGTGCATATGAACCAATAAATGACAGTAAATCATTTGAAAATAATCCTTTCATTCATTTAAAATTTTTTTATTTGCTAACGAATCATCGTGTAAAATCATTAAAAAACCTTTTCTTCTCATATCAAACGTTTCATTTTTTTCTCTTCTATCTGGTAGTTAAACGTATTCAAAAAACAATGGTAAAAATCTTTTGTTATCGGACTTTTTTAATGAAATTAGGTATAGTAGAGTTTTTTCAACATTTAAAATAAAGCAGTATCGGATGATAATAGCTTTTAGTATCAAAGACGATATAGTATTTCTATGGTATCTCAATCGAAAATAGGCCGACATGTCTGGTATCCTACTCATAGTTTTTCTTTTTCATTTCGAAATAGTAGATGGAGATCATCTTTAAAAATCATTGCTAGTCTCACTTTCTAAGGGTTTTCTCTGGCAGAGTTATACAATGTACTGCATGTGTTCAGTCTTTAATTCTCTCGTCAATGGTCGTCTAATTCAAATGAAAGATAGATAAAATTCATTGTCTTTGTCCTTTCGCATCTTGTTTATAAAGTTTAAATGAAGCTTCT